AGAAAATGGACATGGAAAATGTCAGCCACAGACAGGACTTTAAAGGTCTTCGTGTTGCAAGGAGGTGTTGGTGCACACCTTTAATCCCAGCACTAGGGAGGCAGAGGCAGGCAGATCTCCGTGAGTTCGAGGCCAGCCTGGTCTCCAGAGTGAGTGCCAGGACAGGTTCCAAAGCTAAACAGAGAAACCCTGTCTTGAAAAAACCAAAAAGAAAAAAAAAATACTCAAACAAGTATAAAAATCGTAGAATGGAGCCAGGTGGTGGTGGCATACACCTTTAATCCCAGCACTCGGGAGGCAGAGGCAAGAGGATCTCTGTGAGTTTGAGGCCAGCCTGGTCTACAGAGCGAGTTCCAGGATAACCTCCAAAACTACACAGAGAAACCCTGTCTCGAAAAAACAAAAACAAAAAAATCGTCAAGTGGGCCACACCTCTAATACCAGAGCTCAGAGGTGAAGGCAGGAGGAAGGTGACCACCCTTGACTATATGATGAAATCCTGTGTAGAAAATAAACAAAAAACAAAGACTGAACTCTAACTCAGTGTAGAGCAACTTGCCTAGGATCCCCAGTGCGGGAGGGGGTGCAGTTCAATAGTAGAGCACTTTTTATGGGTGAGTCCTCTGTTTCTACCCATATTACCTCAAAGAAATAAAAAAAAAGTCCTGGGGTGTGGTGGGGTGGGGATAGAAGGGAGTAAGTTAAAGCAAAAACTAAGATGAACAAGATGAATGGACAGAAGACATCAGGAGCAGAGGAAGGCACTAGCCAGTCACTGCAGAGGTGAGAGTTGGCCGAAGCCTCAGATCAAAGCTGTATCTGCTTGTGTTGACCTCTGAATGGAAAGGTTGCTCTTCCTGGAGGCTGGAGGGAAGCCAGGGCAAAGGGCCAGCACAAAGAGCAGCCTGAGAGGCTGGGCTGGGGCAGACAGGTTTCTCTTTAGGATGGACAGTAGAGCTCTGTATGCAGAGGGACACAGAAGGACCAGTTGTCTTTAAAATAAACAAACAAATAAATAAATAAATAACTGTAACGTATTCATTGCCAGAGAGGGTGGCATATGCCTTTAATCCTAGCATGCAGGAAGCAGAGGCAGGTAGATCTCTGTGTATTCGAGGTCAACCTGGTCTACATACGAGTTCCAGGACAGCCAGGGATACAGTGCGACTCTGTCTCAAAACAATAACAAAAATTTATCTGGTGTGTGTGTGTGTGTGTGTGTGTGTGTGTGTGTGTGTGTGTGTACCACTTGCATGCAGGTGCCAGAGGAAGCCTAAGGAGGGCATTAGATCCCCTAGAACTAGAATTACAGGCAGCTGTGAGCACAAACTCTGGTCCTCTGCAAAAGCAGCAAATGTTCTTAACTGCTGAGCCATCGCTGTAGTCTCTGGGACAGGAGGGAGGGGGAGGGAAGAAGGCTGTCTTTTTATGTGAGGCACGGGGCTTGAACAAACAGACCCCAGAGGCAGGAACCTCCCGCTATCTCACTTTCTGATCTAAGGAAGACAAAGGTTCCCAGAGTAGGAGGAGCCAAGGAAGAGCTGGACAGAAAGGGACCTCTGAAAAGCTCCCAGAAATAGCTGGCACTAGAAAGGCAGAATAGGGGAAGTCAGCAGGGCTTTTGGAGATGGGGCTGTTGATAACACTGGGGACTATGGTCAAGCAGAATTGTGAGTTCACAGGAAAAGGATAAGTATTCAGGCTGGGGAGGTGCAGAGGGCTGGGGTGGGGGCGGGTTTCATATGAGTGGATTTCAGTTATGGGTAAGTGGTGGAAGAGCCAGTTGTGGTAGTGTACACCTGTCTTCTTAGCCCTTGGGAGGCTGATGCAGGAGGACAGAGCTGGATTGGGGACAGTCCTTACTGAGCTCTCTTGGTCCCTATGACTTGGCTTAGGATCTTCTTCAGCCTATGAAACCCAGTTCAGCCAGGTGCCTCCTAGTAAAACTCTTTCTGATTGGCTGGTCCCAGTCATGTGCTCTCATAGCCATGTATGCAGGCACAGTGACACATTCACTATGTATTTTGCTTTGTGGGAATGTGCATGTATGGGTGTACGTGAAAAACAGAAGTCAACTCTGGCTGCTGTGTCTACTTTTGTTTGTTGGTTTGTTTTTAGACAGGGCTTGGGCCTCACTCATCAGGCTAGGCTGGCTGACCATCAAGTCCCCAGAATCCACCTGCCTCTGACATACTGTGAGCATAACCAACACGAACCCATGTCTGGCTTTTTACCTGACTTCTAGGAATTGCACACAGTGGACTTCATTTCTGTGTGGCAGGCACTTCACCAACTGAGCCACCAATTGCTCTTGCTCCTGCCATCCTGATTTTTGGGACAAAGCTTTGTTATGTAGCCCAGAGTAGCCTCAAACTTGGGACTATCCCGCTGCTGGAATTACAGGCAAGTGCCACCATGCTTGCTTCTGCTATTCTGTCTTGTAGTAGATGCGGGGCTGAGACTTGCTCGGCCTTGACTTATGAACTCTCTGAAGGTAGAACAATATCCCCCTAAGTAGTGACTCAACCTTTGTGCTCTGTAGATATTGCACAAAAGGGAGCAAGGATTATCAATCATCACCTGCAATGTGACTTTAGGGAGGTGATGTCATCTCTGAGATTTTGTTTTTTGTTTTGTTTTTATTTTTAGAGACAGGGTTTCTCTGTGTAGCTTTGGCGCCTGTTCTGGCACTGGCTCTGGAGACCAGGCTGGCCTGGAACTCACATAGATCCGCCTGCCTCTGCCTCCCGAGTGCTGGGATTAAAGGCGTGTGCCAGCACATCTCTGAGATTTTTAAATCTATTTCATTTTGTAAGTTACCTTTTATGAATTTATGTTTTCGTGGTGTTGGTCTTGCTCAGGCTAGGCAAACACACTACAGCCGAGCCGCGGCCCCAGCCCTCACTGATGCCTCGGTATCTCTAAAGTAACTGTAACTCAAGTTAGTTACATATTCACCTGCCCTGCACCAAGGTACTTAATATTCACTCTCTCCACGCTTACAGAGCCCAACTCCTCCTTTTACGGAGGACAAAAACTGAGGCACGGTGCGGGATGGGGGGAGGACGGACGACAATGAATGACGTGTCCAGGTTAGCAGCCAGACAGGGGCTTTGGCGCCCAGCCCAACTAAGAAAGCTGTAGGAATGCAAAGGGGAAATATGGAATAGCCTTGCAAACTGTAGGCGCCTGGGTTTGGGGGATCCTCGGGGAAGCGTGGCAGGACGAAGGGGTGAGAGAAGAGAAGACTTAGGTTTCAAGAGGGAGGCTGGAGGATGGGCTTCTGGAGAGAGGCCACTTTGA